TACTTCATATGGTGTCTTGTTTACTATGCTGGACCAAGTTCTATTTTGTGTATAATTGGAATATTGTAAAGCTTCTGACCAGAATTGTTTACCTAAGCCAGCATCCTCTAATGTGCATCTAATCATGGTTTGTAATGTTGAGTTCTTTCTCTCTACCACTCCATTTTGGAATGCAGAGAAGGGGCTAGATGTGTAATGTAACATTCCTTTGTCTTTTAGCCATTGGGAGAATTCCTTTGACATGAATTCACATCCCCTATCTGTCATGATTTGTTTTATTTTAATATTATGTTGTGTTTCTACACGTTTGTAAAACTCCTTAAATTTCTGAAAAGTTTCATCTTTGTGTTTTAATGTATAAACAAACCCATAACGACTATAGTCATCCACAATGGTTAGAAAATAACGTTTTCTATATGTGATTGATGGCGTTAGTGGACCAACTAGATCCATGTGTACCAAATCAAAAATTTTGTTGGTTGATCTTGTTGACTTTCTGGGTTTGGGATTAGTTTTGAGTTTTGTAGATTTACATACTGAGCATTCCAAATAGTTTTCACAATTTTTTATTTTAACACCTTCAGCATGTTCAGTCATCTTTTGTACTACAGGAAAACTGGCATGTCCTAATTTCCTATGTAAGACATGAGCACACTCATCATGAATTGGTTTACCTATTTTAGGCTTTTTTTCATTGGGTGTGTCTTTGTGATTATGAATTACCTCATGTTCCTCATTGTCACTACTACTATTGCCTCCATTATCTATGTCATTGTTATCTTCCATATTGGAATCAATGTTGTGTAACCATCTCTCCTTTGTCATTAAATAAGGTAGACCTCCTTTGGTAATCACAGTACCTATACTTATTCTGTTTTTCTCTAATGTTGCTCTTCCTTTTGAGAACACAATATTTATGTCAGAATCTCTGCTTAGTTTTATTGCACTAAGTATGTTATGAGGTATTTCAGGTATTAACAATACCCCCTCTATTTTTCCTAGGCCAGGTAAGGTTATATTCCCTCTACCTATGACTTGAACCTTTTCTTGATTAGCTACTTTAATTACAAATTTATCTTCTACAAATGAAGATAATATATTTTTATTATTTGTAGTGTGATTAGTTGCTCCAGAATCAATAAGCCAATCGTTGTTCTCTGGTTGTTGTATGTTAGTATTGTCATGTTTGTTTAACCCATTCAGTGAACCAGACCTTCTATCCTTTGAATTATCTCTGCCCCCTCTATGTTCTCTATAGTTGGGTGGACTTCTCTATCTATGTCTATCAATGGATGACTGTCTGTTGTGGTATCTATTTCTATATTCTGATCTTTGTCTTTCTCTTAGGAGTTTAGGACAATCCCTCCTATTATGTTCTTTGGATCCACAGTTGCGGCATCCAATTGGTTCGTGATATCTTTCTTGAAATGCTACCTTCTTATATTGTTTATGTTCCATGTGATTGTTACAACGACTCCTCCTAGAATTGTCTTCAGCTATTAGCTTATTAGATAGATTTTATATGGATAAATATCCTAAATTGATTGTGTCTAAATGTGATATATAATTATCCCACGATGGGTCTAGTGAGTTAATGATAACACTTTTCATTGTTTGATCTGAAATTATCTCCCCCCTTAAATGCAGTTCTGCTCTAATTTTGTTTAAAGATATTAAATGTTCACTTATGGTAACCCCTGGCTTTATCCTAGATGAGAAGAAATCTTTAGACATCCTTGTAGTAGTAGCTACACTTTCACTGTGAAACAATTTAAACATGCATTGAATAATTTCTGAGACAGTCAGATTTTGCTTAATACTGTGATACATGGCAGGAGATATACTGGAAATTAATAAGAAAAATGCTCTATGGTGTAGGCAGTCCAATTTTAGAGTCCAAGGTCTTTTTGGTGGGTTAGTAATAAAAAACAGTAAGTTTTCTTTTAGAAAGACAACCTGGAGCTGCTGACACCATTCTTGCAAATTAATACCATCTATTCTCAGTTTTGGGAAGTCATTGGGCAAATTCCCAATATTGTTGGATCCATTACTTACAACTGGAGGTAGTCCATGATCTTGTAAATGTTGAAAGTTGCAAAACGGCGTGGGGATGCTTGCAACGAGTCTGAATGATTCTCTCCGTTCCTCATGTCTTCCGAAGCTGTCTGCGTAGTCTTGCACATGCACGTTGTTCATTTTGTTCCTGAAGCCGTCGTGAGAGGTTCTCGCTGCTGCAGCTCCCTCGCATTGTTCTTCTTCCGAGGAATCGGTCTCCGGCTCGATCTTGGGAGTCCTGGTGATAGCAGGCGCTCGCTTTCTTTCGTTGGGGACGCTGGTCCTTGGGATCGTCTGAGGCGTGGGGTGGTATCTGCAGGGCTCTCTGGGTTTAGGCGTCGGTGCTCTCGTCGTTTGGATAGAAGCGGGTAGATTTTGAGGCGTTCGCTTGCTTGCTTGTCTTTTCGTTGATTCTTTAGTGATTTTCAATTTTGGTCCAAATGCTGCAAAGAGCGTTTTCATTGCTGACTTTACTCGCATATCTATTGAAGCTTCTTCAATCTCTGTGTCTGATTCTTCTGAGGTGTAAATTTTCTCTCTTTCATTTCTTGCATTGAGTAAGGCTTTTCGCGCCAGATATTTTGAATCCCGCTTTCTGATTGGCTCTGCTTCGCTCATCTTAGGGGTCTGTTGAAACCAAGATGGCTGCCATTCGAAATTTTGCGCGGGACTGTTAGTTTTCTTCTTTGCTGTATTTTTGTCTGCAGGCAGATCGCTCACCGTTTTTGAATCTTTAAATTTATCTGGAACGATGTGCTTCTCTCTCGCTGCTCCGTTGTTTTTTAATATGTCTTGGAGGTTCGCGATGAGGTTTTCATCGTTCTTTTGGCTTTTTAAGAGTTTTAGTATCTCTGACCTGAGTTCGTTGTTTTCTATTTCGTTTTCTTCTTGGTCATCAGTTTCATCTATTATTTCTTCGTCGTCTGTAGTGCATTCTTCAGATTCTCTCGATATTGCATTCGTGGACTCATCGATTATTTCTTGATCTGCTTCCATTTCTTTGCTGTATGCCCTGGTGTTGGGCCTATCTCTTTTGTTTCTGGAGTTTTCTCTCTCAGACATGTTTAAGATTTTATTGAGTCAATTTAACCATCCTCTGCTACCAGATTGTTACGATATTTTCAGGATCAGACTCAATAAATAAGTTGAGAATTAGAAGTTCAAATAAAACACTGTTTATTTACAGAAGGCATTCTATATTCACTGAATAATCACAGATAGAAGAACAGAAGGAATGCATACAGCTCCTTATATATACAATGGGTGGAGCTAGATATGGGAGTGGTGAAATATGAATACATTAAGTAGTGAAGAATAAGTTAACCCCTGATACCCTGATCATGTACTATTTACATAATGAAGAATAAGGTATTTACTTGTGACAAAATCTTTCACAGAAAATAAAAGATCAAAGTTCTCACCTTTCACCCTGGCTAGGCCTAAAACATGTCTCTCAATCTCTCTCTCTCTTGTGTTGCACTTACATCCACACCAGACATAAACAATTTTCAAATACTTCACCCAACTTTTTCTCCAGGCAAAAACGTCATTATTTTCAGGGAGCTTTTTCACAAGCCATTAATTCTATTTTCCAAGTTTTATTTATTATTATCTCTTTTATTCATTAAATATGAAACTCAGTCAACTGAACATTTAAAAATGTATCACAAATACCATTGACTGGTGCTAATGGTTGATACAGGTTGCTGCCAGCATCCTAGGTATCAACCAAGTACCTTCCTAAGATGTATGATGTTCCAAGTAGCACAGTTTTTTGCAGTTCCGCTGGTGTTATTGCAGGAAGCTGCAATTTGCTGATGTATCTTATAAAATTCTTGGACATGGTACCAAGTGCCCCGATGACAATGGGTTTCACTGTTACATGTTTCATCCATAGCCATGTAGTTTCGATGGCCAGGTAGCGATATTTTGTGATTTTTTTCCAGCTCTTTTTCTTCGACTTTGGCATCTCCTGGTACCGTGATGTCAATAAATTGTACATTTCAGTTTTCAACAACTGTGATATCTGGCCTGTTGTGTTTCAAGTGACGATCCATCTGTATTCAAAAGTCCCACAAGATCTTCACCTTCTCATTTTCTATAACTTTTTCCACTTTATGTTCCCATGACTTTTTGGATACAAGAAAGTCATATTTTTAACATAATGACCAGTGGACTAATTTAGCAACTCGGTCGTGTCTAGCTTTGTAATCAGTTTGTGCGATTTTGCTGCATTCACATATTAAATGTGAAACAGTTTCAACTTTGTTGTTGCAAAGTCCGTAAAGCCCTGAAGACGTTTTTATTTCATCAAGCCGGCCTAGCCTAAATGGTTTTTAATTGGGATTTTAAATTTTATGGATTTGGGGTTTTAAATTTGGGTAGCCAATGATTTAATTCTTTTAATTATCTTAACTTTTGCATTTGTATGTTTTTTAATTTTGGCTGTTCACCGCCCTGAGTCCCTTCTGGGAGAAGGGCGGTATACAAATTAAATTAATAAATAAATAAATAAAGTCAGCAGTTTGGATTGTCGGTGGATTTTTGTATCTTTGCTTTCATGGCATTAGTTTGTAGTGCTTGTTCTTGAGTAGCAAGTATTAAACCTTCCGTTTCTTTCTGGATGGTTCCCATTTTAAGCCATGCCCATGTAAAATTGTCATTATAAAGTTATTATTGTTGTTATTGTTATTATTGTTATTATTATATTTATTTATTTTGTTTGTTTGTTTGTTTGTTTGTTTGTTGTGTCTTGTATAGTATTATTAGAAAGTCTGCTCTCCCGGGTCTTAGAAATGACCCAATACAAATACACACACACACACACACACACACTTTTTAAAATCATTTCCAGACCTGTGGAGGTTTTGTCCCTTTAAATTTCTACTTTTCCTGAGGCAACTTGTGACTTGTTCCCCAGGCAACGGGAAAAATACAAGGAGTGGTTCCAATAAAAATGTGATGGTGGGGGCTAACTAGGGGTGGGATTCAGCTGATTTGGACTGGTTCGGATGTTAATTTTAATCTGGTTCGCTGAACCGGTTGTTCTAAGGACTGGCTGACTCTACCCACCCCACCCCTCCCAGGAGTCTCCAGATGGCCCATTTTGGATGCCAGGTAAGCACAGGGCTCACGCAGAGGCTCTGGGAGGGCAAAAAACGGACCTACTGGAAGTACCGGAAGTCCAGAAATGGGCATGTTTCCTGCCTCCGGAGGGCCTCTGGAGCCTGGGGGAGGCCGTTTTTGCCCTCCTGGAGGCTTGAAGAAAGCCTCTGGGGCCTGGGGAGGGTGAAAATGCCCCCCCACCGTGGTGCAGGAGGCCGAGTAGGCCATGCCTCCATGGCCATGCCTACCCAGCAACCAGGCAGTGAACCGGTTACTGAAATTTTTCAATCCCATCCCTGGGATTAACTAGTACCTGCCTATTCCCCACTTGGCTTTAAGCCAAGTCAAGAAGCCCAATTTTTAATTTGTTGGCTGGCCAAACATGTCAACATTTTTTTCTTTTCTTTCATTTTTGTTTTCTTTTCTTTCATTTTGTTTTGTTTTGTTTGCGGCTGCCTAATTGAAATTATATACGGGTAAAGAATTTTTTATGTAAACATATTCAAAGGTACCTTCAGGTGACCATACATGTGCACAAAATTTTAACAAGCCTTATCTCCTTTTCTATTCTATTTAATTCAATTCAATTCCAGTTCTGCTAACATCAAGGAAATTATCATAGAGACACATCAACAAACCAGAAGTCACATCCAAATTATCTGAATATTCAATATTCCAACTTCCAATTCAGACAAGCTAAACTTACATGTTCATGGGAAGAACAACAAAACTTTACTTTCTTCATGGCTTTCCATGTCAAGTGGGTCCAAATAGTTTTATGATGCAGGAGATTTATGTCTCTCCAGGATCAACTAATGAACTTTACTTCGTTCATTAGAATATCAATAGACTCAGAAGATTTACCTCTCTCTAATATCTCTGTTGCCTCCTGGGTTCCAGTTAAACCCTGCTGAGCACTAGGCAACATACCATCGTAACAACCAGCTTGTCCCTCATCATCAGGAGACCCAAATGATCTGCCTCCCTTCCTTCTTTTCTTGTCTTTCTCTTTGTCTTTCCTTTTTCCCAACAAGAACCCGCTTGCCATTGTTCTTCTTGCCTGAATGCAAACCAAGAATCCTGCCAACTATGCCAATTATGTCATAAAATTGAAGCTTTTTAAAATAGAGTTAGCCAATTTTTTTTTAATTTTTGTGTTATTCGGACAAAAAACAAAACAAGTTGCAAGTGCAACTAAGCTTAATTAGTTCCTTTACATTTGTACATATACTTGTCTAATTTCAAAGTTATCTTATTACAATAAGCTATGCCCAGCAAGCAAGAAACTTTCTGATCAATCGATCTGCCGTTATATTCTGTGCTTTCACCCATCTAGCTTCTGACATTGGATATCCTTGGCCTTGAGAGTGTTATCTGGGAGGAGTTCGATCCTGTGGCTCCCGAGGACGTGGACAGGATCTTGGGACGACTGAACGCAACCACATGTTTATTGGACCCGTGTCCCTCCTGGTTGGTGCTGGCTTCCCGGGAGGTTACACGAGGCTGGCTCCAAGGGATTATTAACGCTTCTTTGAGCGAGGGTGTTCTGCCGGCCGCCTTGAAAGAGGCGGTGGTGAGGCCTCTCCTCAAGAAGCCATCCCTGGATCCGGCTATTTTGGCTAACTATCGTCCAGTCTCCAACCTTCGCTTTATTGCGAAGGTTGTTGAGAGTGTGGTGGCGCGACAGCTTCCCCAGTACCTGGATGAAGCTGTCTATCTGGATCCGCTCCAGTCCGGCTTCAGACCAGGGTACAGCACGGAAACGGCATTGGTCGCATTGGTGGATGATCTCTGGAGGGCCCGGGATAGGGGTTATTCCTCTATCCTGGTCCTATTAGACCTCTCAGCGGCTTTTGATACCATCGACCATGGTATCATGTTGCACCGGCTGGAGGGACTGGGAGTGGGGGGCACCGTTCTGCGGTGGTTCTCCTCCTATCTCTCCGACCGGTCGCAATCTGTGTTGACAGGGGGGCAGCGGTCGACCCCAAGGCGCCTTGTTTGTGGGGTGCTCCAAGGGTCGGTCCTCTCGCCCCTCCTGTTCAACATTTATGTGAAGCCGCTGGGTGAGATCATCCGTGGTTTTGGGGTGGAGTTCCATCAGTACGCTGATGATACTCAGCTGTACATTTCCACCCCAGACCATCCCAATGACGTCTTGGAAGTGATGTCCCAGTGCCTGGAGGCCGTGCGGGTCTGGATGGGGAGAAACAGGCTTCGACTCAACCCTTCCAAGACCGAGTGGCTGTGGCTGCCGGCGTCCCGGTATAGCCAGGTGACGCCATCGCTGGTTATTGGGGGCGAATCATTGGCCCCCACGGAGAGGGCCCGCAACTTGGGTGTCCTCCTGGATGCGCGGCTGTCTTTAGAAGGGCATATGACAGCTGTGGCCAGGGGGGCTTTTTGTCAGGTTCGCCTGATACGCCAGTTGCGCCCCTTTCTGGACCGGGACTCCCTATGCACGGTCACTCAAGCACTCATCACTTCTCGTCTGGACTATTGTAACGCTCTCTACATGGGGCTCCCCTTGGGGTACACCCGGAGGCTCCAACTGGTGCAGAATGCGGCTGCGCGGGGGATTATGGGAGCGACGGGGCGCTCCCATGTGACTCCTCTCCTGCGCGAGCTGCATTGGCTTCCGGTGGACTTCCGGGTGCGCTTCAAGGTGTTGGTGATCACCTTTAAAGCGCTCCATGGCTTAGGGCCAGGGTACTTACGGGACCGCCTTCTGCCACCAATAGCCTCCCACCGGCCGGTTCGCTCCCACAGAGAGGGCCTCCTCAGGGTGCCGTCGGCCAGACAATGCCGGCTGACGACCCCCAGGAGGAGAGCCTTCTCTGTGGTGGCACCTACCCTATGGAACAATCTACCCCCAGAGATACGAGTGATCTCCGACCTCCGGATTTTTCGTCGGGCCCTAAAAACTTATTTTTTTCAGCTAGCCGGTCTGTCCTGATTTTAGGGTTAGTTTTAAAAATTTTAATATTTATTTTAATTGACAAGTTTTAAATTATGGGCCAAATTTATAAATTATTTTAACTTTATTTTTTAACTCTGACGTTTGTATAGATGTTTTTTATCTGGCTGTTCACCGCCCTGAGTCCGAAAGGAGAAGGGCGGTATAGAAATTCGAATAAATGAAATGAAATGAAATGAAATATCCTAGGTATTGGAGTTTTCCTTTGTATAACCTGGAATCCAGGATCCTTTTAACATCTTAATGTTAAAACATCACCACTATGATTGGACCTGGAGCTATCCTGGCTACTGACCTCAGTTCTGACCCTACCACTGACTTAAGCAAACTGCAGACATGGCAATTTTAACTCCACTGTCACTGGGTTTATGATTTTCACTATGGAGAAAGGCCCTATAAATTTTGGATCCAGCTTTCAGCAGGGCAGCTTCAGCTTCAGCTTCAGGTACTTTGTGGATAGATACACGTTGTCTCCAATGTGAAACAGTCTCTGGGGTGACCGCCTTTGGCATCACTTTGAACTGGAAGCTCCCTAACAGGCAATTGAAGGCAGTTTTCTCAGTATTTATTTATTATTGCGATTTATATGCCGCCTTTCTCCCTAGGGACTCAAGGCAGTTTACAAAATGACAAATTCGAATACAAATCACAATGAAATAAAATTAAAATCAGCAACCCTGTTAAAAACAGTTTAAAATTATGACAGTGTATCCCCAAACGGATCAGTTGAGTTGACGAAAGAGCCACGTCTTCAGCTCGCGATGGAAGGAAAGAAGGTCGGGGGCCCTCTTTGATCCTCACCCTATAATACGCCTCCCTCAGGTCTAATTTGGTGAAGATCTTCCCCTTGGCCAAGTGACCTAACATGTCCTTCATTAGGGGAAGGGGGCAGTGGTGGGATTCAAATAATTTAATAACCAGTTCTCTGCCCTAATGACCAGATGAGTGAGTGTGGCCATGGTGGGTATGGCCAGGGGGTGTGACAGGCAACACTCGGCCTCCTGCAGCCTCCTGGTAGCAAAAACGGGCCGTGGGGGGGCCACACTGTGTCCCTGCCCCCTGTTTTGGGCCTAGTAGGCCTCCCTGCACTTACCTGGGAGCCAAAATGGGGCACGTGGGGACTTCCGGAAGGGGTGGGGAGGGGAGGGGCCACCCAGCAATTTAACAACCAGTTCGGCCAAAGTGGTGCGAACTGGTTGAATTCCACCACTGGAAGTGGGTACTGTATTTTTCAGACTATAAGATGCACCGGAGTATAAGACGCACCAAGATTTCAAAGAGGTAAACAAGAAAAAAAAGTTTTTACCTTCCCCAACCCCTAGGAGCACTCTGCAGGCCTTTGCAAAAAACGGGCCTGTTTTTCACAAAATCGGGCTGCACAGAGAGTTTGGGAGGCCTGCAGAGTGCTCCTGGGGGCTGGGGAGGGCAAAAACATGATGAATGGGTGGTTTGGGGGGCCAAAAACAGGCCAGTTTTTTGCAAAAATGACCCCTTTTTTGTAAAAATGGGGCACACAGAGGGTTTGGGAGGCCTGCAGAGTGCTTCTGGGAGCTGGGGAGGGCAAAAATAAAACACGTGGGTGATTTGGGAGACCAAAATAGGCCCATTTTTGCAAAAATGGGGTATGCAGAGAGTTTGGGAAGCCTGCAGAATGCTCCTGGAGCTGGGGAAGGCAAAAACGTGACTCGTGGTGGGTTTGGGAGGCCAAAATAGGCCCGTTTTTGCAAAACTGGGGTATGCAGAGGATTTGGGAGGCCTGCAAAGTGCTCCTGGGGCTGGGGAAGGCAAAAATGCAATGTGTGGGGGGTTTGGGAGGCCAAAAATGGGCATGTTTTTCATAAAAATAGGGCATGCAGAGGGTTTGGGAGGCCTGCAGAGTGCTCCTGGGGCTGAGGAGGGCAAAAACGTGACTCATGGGGGGTTTGGGATGCCAAAAGTGGCCTGTTTTTCATAAAAACGGCCTCATTTTTTGCAAAAATGGGGTGCGCAGAGGGTTTGGGAAGCCTGCAGAGTGCTCCTGGGGGCTGGGGAGGGC